GGACAAATGATATATCGATTTTTTATTTTATTTTCAAAACCGGTGATATTACCATCTCCGAACACAAGTCCATTGAGAAGCGACCCTCGATCAGAAAACCTCTGCCTGGAACAATATCACATTTCAACCCGCTTTTATCTTTCGGGATATTACTGATATCGTCCCCTGGGTATCAGATCGTGATAGTGTTTCGTTGTGCCTTAAGATACGCGATATAAATTGTTCCATTAATAATTACATTGAAATCGTCCTGTCCTTTTGATAAAACAGCACGAAAGGGAAACTAATGCTTGCAACAATGGCAAATGTAATGTATACTATATATAATACATGTACATATATTGAAGGTATAACTCCCGTCTATTAGAAACCTTATTAATATATATGTTCTGGAATCCAATTGTTCCGTATGGGCTATAGAATACCGGATAAATCAACAAATAGTATTGAAAGCGAAATATTTTATGTATACATTATTTTTACATTGTACGAACAAAACACAAATAAACAGATGTGTTACACTATTTGCAGGAGCTCCGGTTGATGTTTAAACAATAATAAAGTTATCGCACTAAACTTTGTTTATGCTATTGCCTAGATACAATCAACGAAGGTAACGGTTCTATTACAGCACTAGAAACGTCGCATCGTCTCTACATATACACGGGTTTTTAACGGATAAACAGTTTGTGGGGACTGCTGAGCGGGGTATGATTGCAGACTAGCGCATTATGACTACCCTGAAATTCAAAGAGCGGATAAAGGTGTCCTTGCTATGAACTGTCCTGTACATGTTTCCTTTGCATCAACGCATTCGGTGAGTAAAACACATTAATATGATAATTATTATTGCAATATGAGAATTATTACAGTATGAGAAATATTTCTTTACTTGTAGTATTTATGGACGATTGTTTGACGGAAAATTGATACATTTATTGGTATATTAGTTGATGAATATGCGATATTCATCAAAAACGTTATTATTATGAAAAATATACATTGGGGACGAGATAAAAATTTACACATAAATGAACAAAATATCAGGCCTAATAGAGCGATAGGAGTTAGAAAGGAAGCATTGTAAATATACAAAAAAAAACAACATTTCTAGCCTTGACATGGAATAAGGGTTTATAAGGAGGAGTTCGTCAAGGAATCTAACACAAATGCCAGATTCCACTGAGATGCAAGCTACCTGGCCCTGGATCTTCCAAGATCGAAACCCCTGATCAAGGCTGACAGGGAGGGAGCTGTGCGAAATTCCGATCTGTCATGAAAAGCAAAAACACTGGCTAAAGCAGAGCGATAGCCAGCAATAGTCCCGGGAGCAACATTGCGATCCCTGAACAATGACAGAAGATATCGGCAATAACCTGAACAGACACCTTGAGTGGATCAATCTGTCTCTCGTCACACCAATCGCAGAAGATTCGTCATCTGGATTGTTAGATGGCAGAAGAGGAAAACCTGATTTACCGTGCGATGCTCTCTGACCCGTCCTCAGAAAAACCTGTTATATAAAAATAGCAGGTTCGATTTCTGCAGGCGGCGTTGACCCGGAAACATCTTTCGATTACCGTAATATGATTTGAAAAAAAGCAAAACAAAACATATACAAATGTATCAGGCGGTGGAACATGGTTTTATTGTAAGGTGAGACTTTTAACCGTTGTTTGATATTACCTTACTAGAGTGGAGACTAATATGGTCTGGTTTTGATATCAAAGTACATTCAATTAGATCTGTTCTTGCATGGCACTTTTAATGAGCTGTTAGAAATACATGCCATATCAATCAGAACATTTTTGTAACAACCAGAGCACGAACACGCCCACCCCCGTACGTAGTGAGGGCATTGAGAAGATCACGTGGTAAGATATGCTTTCTTAAGACTTTCCAATAAATTTCTGATTGTGTAAAATATATAGGTATGCCATTTATTGGCTACAAAGCGCTCTTGAGAGTGATTAGTTAGGGCGCCAGACAAAACAACAACATCGCCTTGATCAGCTTCCGGCATAGTGACGTACTGTTTGTTCCCGAGATGATCATGAGCGTTCCCTAGACTTGACGTCTTTTATTGGCATCAGTAACCCTGGATCGATACTTACCGACTTCACACGTTCGTTCATTTGTTATGTCTGGTATCTAAAATAATGGACGTGCTCTGTTGAACGAATATAATATACATATTGAGAGATAAATCTGGTTTGATGTCTGATCCATTATCATAACCATTTGTATATAAAAAAATGAGGTCGTACAGGAGTAGTGTGCTGAAGGGTCCTTCCTTGTTGCCATTTCATAACGTTATGTCATTCTTAATTCTTCAAATTCCAGTGGTTTTAGAAAAGCCACAGGGGTCGAGCTTATGCGCTAGAGTTAACACGCTTGTGAACTGAATTTTACATCCTTGTGCACTGGTGTTACTGTAACTACAGTGCGCAAGGTTAATTTTCTTTATCATAATATGTCTGGCTTTTGCATCAGTTTATATTTTTTCATAACTTTGATTTTCTCCCCTCCTGGTCTACTCAAAAAATAGATGAATAAATAAATGAAATATTTGATGTTATCAATTTATATACCTAATAGCTATCTAAGCAGTATCCCTGAATGAAAGTAGTATGCGATAATATGTAATAACTATAAATCATGATAACCTATTAAATCATAAGTACATACACAAACTCGGACCCGTGGTACATGAACATACAAGTATTGATGGTTTAAAGTTTATAATACTTAACTTATAAACATATTCACTTAAGTTCATTTATAGTTTTAGCAGTATTACGTCCTCATAAATATAAATCAATTTATCTGTATATGGTTGGTACATTATACTGAGTCATATCATGTCAGATAATTACTTGTTTGGCTTAAAAAATTGAAGAGTGTTTAGTAAATTTGCTTCAAAATTGCCCCCAATTTTCTACCATATAGCGCACAGCAGACGATATTCACGCATTTTGTTATGAATATTCAGATTTATGTTTCTGTTTGTAATGCCATATCTCCTAAACCAGTTGTTGAATGAATCTAAAATTGCATATTTGCGTACTTCATTTATTCCAGATTACGAATATTTCTCGGCCTATTTCTAAATCCCCGATGAGGCTGGATATGACCCTTAACGCCCATAATCGATTATTTCTCCCTTCTTAGACCTTGTTACATATCATACAGTTATATTGAAAATAAATTCGAAATGATGGCCTATACATGTATATAAATCTGCAGTGTATTTCTAAGGCTTTTTGGTAGAAAACCTTGACTGAGTAGTTTTGAAGAACTCTTGTTATCAGGACGCTATACACCAAATCCATATTTAGATTAAACTCTTGAGAATGATTAATTGCTTCGTAACAAACAGCTATCGAGGAAAGCAAATAATGAGCTGCAATCAACTTTAGCACAATTGTTTACCAACATGTAAGAAATATATATCCGGGTCGAATTAGCTAGTAGTTCTTCACTCTGGTATGGGTCTATTAACTGTCGTCAGGAAATATGCGTTTGAAATTGATCTCCGTTGCGCTGGTAGGCGCGATATTTTCTTTTTGACATTGAGTTGAATAAATTACAACTTAATTTGTCCTGTATCATGAAATTTTCCATATGGCCGCTTAAGCTAATAGAATTCCTCCTGAAAACATACATTTTCACCCCGTCTCGTTTCGATTTCATTTTATCTAAATGATGACTGGATGATTTTGAATGGTGGACTTATCTCATTCAACATGGTTATGATATCAGCCTTGAATGAAACAAAAAACACATAATTTGTAGCTAACGTACACAACCTTGTGATACATTATTCAGACAGTAGTGCGTGACTGTGTACAATAAAACTTCCACATTGCGACATATTAGATCGGTCAGGATATTTAACACCTGTTCTATTTTTTTTATACACGGTTCAGCACCTTACTAGTACACTAGTACGTAGAACGTTCTCACGCACTTCAAACTATACCAGGAAGTTGAATTGAGGCGTAGTGTTGACGTTGTAGAACAATCTTGCGATGTTAAAATGTATTCTTTTCTTTCTTTTTCATCTGTTTTGCTTTATTTTACCTTTTCCCCCTCTTAACTATGATTGTAATTGTTTTTTCCTTCATATTACTTAACTGTTTGTTGTTTCGTTTTTAATTTATTCCTTTCGTAACTTTATACGAAACTCGCGTTATTCATTTTGTCTGCAATCCTGTTTCGAGTTATAGGACCATAACACTGAACAGAATGCTGTTTTATGGTTTAACTATACCATTATGACTAATGCTGTTGTACAGTGCGAGGTTAATGCAAAAATAATGTTTAAGGTAAGCCTAAGGGTTAGGATTTGGAGATGTTCGAAAGTAATTCTTCGGATTGCGTTCCGGAGAATATTTTTTTCTTCTTCTGTTTGTGTTGATCACCTGTTCAAGGTTGTACCATTTCATTGTTGTGTAACATCGTCACCATGCGTTAATGCAAATTGTGTCAGGCCGCTCTACACGAACAAAAATAATGTTATATATTTTATGTTACTATATTTTATTCAGGGCAGCCCCTTGTAAACGTATACATTGTACGAGTTATAGTTTGCGTGTGAAATAAACTAATGAGATCCGGGTAAGATGTTTTCGGAAAGTTGAAATCGGTTAGGAAAAACACCCATCCTCAGGCGTGTTCTAATTTCTGGCTTCGGAAAATGTGTTCATTGCGACATAGGCTATACCCTATACTCTGCATGATATTTAGCTCGTATTAGGTTATTTCAAACAGATGACCTGCCCAAAACCCAAACAAAGAGAAAGGCAGAGATACCCTAGATTAGAATCTGTATTAATGGTCACAACAATGCCCCGTTCTCAGCTGTTTGTTTACCAAGGGACAATGAACGTCGTATCGATGACGGAATTTGAGGATGTGGGTTTGTCACGTAGTCCGAAATTTCTCATAAACATAAAGAGTATTTATGACATAATATGTATCAGTACAAAGTTGATAAAATGGAACGGAAACCCGTGGTTGACCTTGCTGACGGACAAGGACAAAACTTGGTTACCTTCATAGAGTTGTCCCGAATGGTAAGGCATACATGTACATACATACATACATATATGGGGCAAAGAAGTAATTCCAACAGTGTGGACAAGTTTAGGTTGTCAAATTTTCGAAGCGATCCGCTCCTTTATCAAGACACAGTGAAACGGAACAGTTACATGTACATATACATCATATTAGAAGAAGATAGAACTGATATACTATAATTGAAAATATAGCTATTATATAAAACCAATAGTCTCCTCGGCTAAAGACAGCTGAAGGCAGAAATTAAGCTGAGAGCATCGCGGACAAGGAACGCTGATATAGAGGAACTATTCTGGCGCAAGATGCACTATCACATAAAGTGAGTCAACGAGAGATAAGCACCAGAAAGAATGGACGAGATATCAAAAACGTGGAACATGTGCATGTGATAATCTGGTCCGGTAAATGTGAAAAATCTCGATTTCCTTCAGAATGCCCTTATTAGTCGCCTCTCAATTCTGCAGTGGATTTAACAGTCACAGCAGGGGGGTCCACACTTAGTCGCCTCTTTCGGTTTGCATGAATAATGCATGTTATTATGCATACATATGTATCTAACCTGTTAGCTGGTTAATGATGCCATATTTTAAAGCTACATATGTGTTTCACATACACTTAATGTGAATTAAACCTAGTTTCTTTAATCCATCTAACGAGGATAATCATAAATCGGAATCAAGTGCAACCAATACATCTGGATATGGGAATGAATTCAGTATGTTATCAAATAATGTATTAAATCATAGAATCCGGCAGAGCAGAATCTTAACATATAAACTACTGTACGAGGCATATTGATGGGTCTATCAAAAGCCAATCTATAATTCACTAAGAGCTCTCGACCTATTTATATGCTTTCAGACCTTAACTATAAATCACTGATNTATGCTCTCATACCTTAACTGTCAACCGCTACGAGCTCTCGGCCTATTTATATGCTCTCATACCTTAACTGTAAACCGCTACGAGCTCTCGGCCTATTTATATGCTCTCATACCTTAACTGTAAATCACTGCGAGCTCTCGGCCTATTTATATGCTCTCATACCTTAACTGTAAACCGCTACGAGCTCTCGGCCTATTTATATGCTCTCATACCTTAACTGTAGACCACTGAGAGCTCTCGGCCTATTTATATGCTTTTCATACCTTAACTGTCAACCGCTACGAGCTCTCGGCCTATTTATATGCTCTCATACCTTAACTGTACACCGCTACGAGCTCTCGGCCTTTTTATATGCTCTCATACCTTAACTGTAAACCGCTACGAGCTCTCGGCCTATTTATATGCTCTCATACCTTAACTGTAAACCACTGAGGCTAGGCCTATCAGGATAGTTTTTTTGTGAATCAAGACCAACACCATTCCAGTATAAGGATAGTTTAAAGTGAACCAAGGCCCCACCATTCCAGTGTCATAATAGTTTCAATGAACCAAGGCCCCACCATTCCAGTGTAAGGATAGTTTCAATGAACCAAGGCCCACACCATTCAAGTGTCAGGATAGTTTCAATGAACCAAGACCCGCACAAACCCCCGTCTTAGGATAGTTTCAATGAACCAAGGCCCCACCATTCCAGTATAAGGATAGTTTTAAGTGAACCAAGGCCCCACCATTCCAGTGTCAGGATAGTTTCAATAAACCAAGACCCGCACCATTTCCGTGTCAGGATAGTTTTAATGAACCAAGGCCCACACCATTACAGTGTCAGGATAGTTTCAATGAACCAAAATCCACACCATTCCAGTGTCAGGATAGTTTCAATGGACCAAAACCCGCACCATTCCCGTGTCAGGATAGTTTCAATAAAGCAAAAACCATACCATTCCCGTGTCAGGATAGTTTTAATGAACCAAGGCCCACATCATTCCAGTGTCAGGATAGTTTTAATGAACCAAAACCCACACCATTCCGGTGTCAGGATAGTTTCAATGAACCAAAACCCGCACCATTCCCGTGTCAGGATAGTTTTAATGAACCAAAACCCACACCATTCCCGTGTCAGGATAGTTTTAATGAACCAAGGCCCACACCATTCCAGTTTCAGGATAGTTTCAATGAACCAAGGCCCACACCATTCCAGTGTCAGGATAGTTTCAATGAACCAAAACTCACACCATTCCAGTGTCAGGATAGTTTTAATGAACCAAGGCCCACACCATTCCAGTGTCAGGATAGTTTCAATGAAACTAGACCAACACCATTCCCGTGTCAGGATAGGTTCAATGAACCAAAACCCACACCATTCCCGTGTCAGGATAGTTTTAATGAACCAAGGCCCCACCATTCCAGTGTAAAGATAGTTTCAATGAACCAAGGCCCACACCTTTCCCGTGTCAGGATAGGTTCAATGAACCAAAACCCACACCATTCCCGTGTCAGGATAGTTTCAATGAACCAAAACCCGCACCATTCCCGTGTCAGGATAGTTTCAATGAACCAAGGCCCACACCATTCCAGGGTCAGGTTATTTTCGATGAACCAAGGCCCACACCATTCCAGCGTCAGGATAGTTTCAATGAACCTAGACCAACACCATTCCCTTGTCAGGATAGTTTCAATGAACCAAAACCCGCACCATTCCCGTGTCAGGATAGTTTCAATGATCCAAAATCCACACCATTCCCGTGTCAGGATAGTTTCAATGAACCAAGGTCCACACCATTCCAGTGTCAGGATAGTTTCAATGAACCAAAATCCACACCATGTCAGTGTCAGGATAGTTTCAATGAACCAAAACCCACACCATTCCCGTGTCAGGATAGTTTCAATGAACCAAAAGCCACACCATTCCCGTGTCAGGATAGTTTCAATGAACCAAAACCCATACCATTCCCGTGTCATGATAGTTTTAACGAACCAATGCACACACCATTCCCGTTTCAGGATAGTTTCAATAAACTAGGGTCCACACCGGCCTCGTCTTAGGATAGTTTTGATGAACCAATGCCCACACCATTCCCGTGTCAGGATAGTTTCAATGAACCAAGGCGCACACTATTCAAATATCATGATAGTTTCAATGAACCAGGGCCGACACCACCCCCCCGTCTTAGAATAGTTTCAATGAATCAAGGCCCAACCATTCCTGTGTCAGCATAGTTTCAATGAACCAGGGCCCACACCGATCCCGTCTTAGGATAGTTTTAATGAACCAAGGCCCACACCATTGCCGTATCAAGATAGTTTCAATAAACCAAGGCCCACACCACCCCCGTTTTAGGATAGTTTTAATGAACCAACACCCACACCATTCCCGTGTCAGGATAGTTTTAATGAACCAAAACCCACACCATTCCCGTGTCAGGATAGTTTTAATGAACCAAGGCCCACACCATTCCAGTGTCAGGATAGTTTCAATGAACCAAAACCCACACCATTCCAGTGTCAGGATAGTTTTAATGAACCAAGGCCCACACCATTCCAGTGTCAGGATAGTTTTAATGAACCAAAACCCACACCATTCCCGTGTCAGGATAGTTTCAATGAACCAAAACACACACCATTCCAGTGTCAGGATAGTTTTAATGAACCAAGACCCACACCATTCCAGTGTCAGGATAGTTTTAATGAACCAAAACCCACACCATTCCCGTGTCAGGATAGTTTCAATGAACCAAAACCCACACCATTCCCGTGTCAGGATAGTTTCAATGAACCAAAACCCACACCATTCCCGTGTCAGGATAGTTTCAATGAACCAAAACCCACACCATTCCCGTGTCAGGATAGTTTCAATGAACCAAAACACACACCATTCCAGTGTCAGGATAGTTTTAATGAACCAAGACCCACACCATTCCAGTGTCAGGATAGTTTCAATGAACCAAAACCCACACCATTCCCGTGTCAGGATAGTTTCAATGAACCAAAACCCACACCATTCCCGTGTCAGGATAGTTTCAATGAACCAAAATCCACACCATTCCCGTGTCAGGATAGTTTCAATGAACCAAAACCCACACCATTCCAGTGTCAGGATAGTTTTAATGAACCAAGGCCCACACCATTCCAGTGTCAGGATAGTTTCAATGAACCTAGACCAACACCATTCCCGTGTCAGGATAGTTTCAATCAACCAAAACCCACACCATTCCCGTGTCAGGATAGTTTTAATGAACCAAGGCCCACACCTTTCAAATATCATGATAGTTTCAATGAACCAGGGCCGACACCACCCCCGTCTTAGAGTTGTTTCAATTAATCAAGTCCCAACCATTCCTGTGTCAGCATATTTTCAATGAACCAGGGCCCACACCGACCCCGTCTTAGGATAGTTTTAATGAACCAAGGCCCACACCATTCCCGTATCAAGATAGTTTCAATAAACCAAGGCCCACACCACCCCCGTTTTAGGATAGTTTTAATGAACCTACACCCACACCATTCCCGTGTCAGGATAGTTTTAATGAACCAAAACCCACACCATTCCCGTGTCAGGATAGTTTTAATGAACCAAGGCCCACACCATTCCAGTGTCAGGATAGTTTCAATGAACCAAGACCCACACCATTCCAGTGTCAGGATAGTTTTAATGAACCAAAACCCACACCATTCCCGTGTCAGGATAGTTTTAATGAACCAAGGCCCACACCATTCCAGTGTCAGGATAGTTTCAATGAACCTAGACCAACACCATTCCAGTGTCAGGATAGTTTCAATGAACCAAAACCCACACCATTCCAGTGTCAGGATAGTTTTAATGAACCAAAACCCACACCATTCCCGTGTCAGGATAGTTTTAATGAACCAAAACCCACACCATTCCCGTGTCAGGATAGTTTTAATGAACCAAGACCCACACCATTCCAGTGTCAGGATAGTTTCAATGAACCAAAACCCACACCATTCCCGTGTCAGGATAGTTTCAATGAACCAAAACCCACACCATTCCCGTGTCAGGATAGTTTCAATGAACCAAAACCCACACCATTCCAGTGTCAGGATAGTTTTAATGAACCAAGGCCCACACCATTCCAGTGTCAGGATAGTTTTAATGAACCAAAACCCACACCATTCCCGTGTCAGGATAGTTTTAATGAACCAAGACCCACACCATTCCAGTGTCAGGATAGTTTCAATGAACCAAAACCCACACCATTCCCGTGTCAGGATAGTTTCAATGAACCAAAACCCACACCATTCCAGTGTCAGGATAGTTTTAATGAACCAAGGCCCACACCATTCCAGTGTCAGGATAGTTTTAATGAACCAAAACCCACACCATTCCCGTGTCAGGATAGTTTTAATGAACCAAGACCCACACCATTCCAGTGTCAGGATAGTTTCAATGAACCAAAACCCACACCATTCCCGTGTCAGGATAGTTTCAATGAACCAAAACCCACACCATTCCAGTGTCAGGATAGTTTTAATGAACCAAGGCCCACACCATTCCAGTGTCAGGATAGTTTCAATGAACCAAAACCCACACCATTCCCGTGTCAGGATAGTTTCAATGAACCAAAACCCACACCATTCCAGTGTCAGGATAGTTTTAATGAACCAAGGCCCACACCATTCCAGTGTCAGGATAGTTTCAATGAACCAAAACCCACACCATTCCCGTGTCAGGATAGTTTCAATGAACCAAAACACACACCATTCCAGTGTCAGGATAGTTTTAATGAACCAAGACCAACACCATTCCAGTGTCAGGATAGTTTCAATGAACCAAGACCCACACCATTCCAGTGTCAGGATAGTTTTAATGAACCAAAACCCACACCATTCCCGTGTCAGGATAGTTTTAATGAACCAAGGCCCACACCATTCCAGTGTCAGGATAGTTTCAATGAACCAAGACCCACACCATTCCAGTGTCAGGATAGTTTTAATGAACCAAAACCCACACCATTCCCGTGTCAGGATAGTTTTAATGAACCAAGGCCCACACCATTCCAGTGTCAGGATAGTTTCAATGAACCTAGACCAACACCATTCCCGTGTCAGGATAGTTTCAATGAACCAAAACCCACACCATTCCAGTGTCAGGATAGTTTTAATGAACCAAGGCCCACACCATTCCAGTGTCAGGATAGTTTCAATGAACCAAAACACACACTATCCAGTGTCAGGATAGTTTTAATGAACCAAAACCCACACCATTCCCGTGTCAGGATAGTTTTAATGAACCAAGGCCCACACCATTCCAGTGTCAGGATAGTTTCAATGAACCTAGACCAACACCATTCCCGTGTCAGGATAGTTTCAATGAACCAAAACCCACACCATTCCAGTGTCAGGATAGTTTCAATGAACCAAAATCCACACCATTCCCGTGTCAGGATAGTTTCAATGAACCAAAACCCATACCATTCCCGTGTCATGATAGTTTCAATGAACCAATGCACACACCATTCCCGTTTCAGGATAGTTTCAATAAACCAGGGTCCACACCGGCCCCGTCTTAGGATAGTTTTGATGAACCAATGCCCACACCATTCAAATATCATGATAGTTTCAATGAACCAGGGCCGACACCACCCCCGTCTTAGAATAGTTTCAATGAATCAAGGCCCAACCATTCCTGTGTCAACATAGTTTCAATGAACCAGGGCCCACACCAACCTCGTCTTAGAATAGTTTCAATGAACCAAGGCCCACACCACCCCCGTTTTAGGATAGTTTTAATGAACCAAGGCCCACACCATTCCCGTGTCAGGATAGTTCCAATGAACCAAAACCCATACCATTCCCGTGTCATGATAGTTTTAATGAACCAAGGCCCACACCATTCCCGTGTCAGGATAGTGTCAATGAACCAGGGTACACACCGGCCCCGTCTTAGGATAGTTTTGATGAACCAATGCCCACACCATTCCCGTGTCAGGATAGTTTCAATGAACCAAGGCCAACACCATTCACGTATCATGATAGTTTCAATGAACCAGGGCCGACACCACCCCCGTCTGAGGATAGTTTCAATGAACCAAGGCCCAACCATTCCTGTGTCAGCATAGATTCAATGAACCGAGTCCCACACCATTCCAGTGTCATGACAGTTTCAATGAACCCCCACATTTCTCCTGTCAGGATAGTTCCATTGAGCCGAGGCCCCCACATTTCTCCTGTCAGGAAAGTTCCATTGAGCCGAGGCCCTACATTTCTCCTGTCAGGATAGCTCCATTGAGCCGAGGCCCCCACATTTCTCCTGTCAGGATAGTTCCATTGAGCCGAGGCCCCCACCTTTCTCCTGTCAGGATAGTTCCATTGACCCGAGGCCCCCACATTTCTCCTGTCAGGATAGTTCCATTGAGCCGAGGCCCCAACATTTCTCCTGTCAGGATAGTTTTAATGAACCAAGGACCCCACCATTCCCGTGTCAGGATAGTTCCATTGAGCCGAGGCCCCCATATTTCTCCTGTCAGGATAGTTCCATTGAGTCGAGGCCCCCATATTTCTCCTGTCAGGATAGTTTCGTTGAATCAAGCCCCTACCATTCCCATGTCAGAATAGCTCCAATAAACTGAGGCTCCGAGAATTCCCCTGTCAGGATATCTCCAATAAACTGAGGCTCCCAGAATTCCCCTATCAGGATAGCTCCAATAAACTGAGGCTCCCAAAATTCCCATGTCAGGATAGCTCCAATAAACTGAGGCTCCCAAAATTCCCCTGTCAGGATAGCTCCAATAAACTGATGCTCCCAGAATTCCCCTGTCAGAATAGCTCCAATAAACTTAGGCTCCCAGAATTCCCCTGTCAGGATAGCTCTAATAAACTGAGGCTCCCAGAATTCCCCTGCCAGAATAGCTCCGATAAACTGAGGCTCCCAGAATTCCCCTGTCAGGATAGCTCTAATAAACTGAGGCTCCCAGAATTCCCCTGACAGAATAGCTCCAAAAAACTGAGGCTCCCAGAATTCCCCTGTCAGGATAGCTCTAATAAACTGAGGCTCCCAGAATTCCCCTGTCAGGATAGCTCTAATAAACTGAGGCTCCCAGAATTCCCCTGCCAGAATAGCTCCAATAAACTGAGGCTCCCAGAATTCCCCTATCAGGATAGCTCCAATAAACTGAGGCTCCCAGAATTCCCCTGTCAGAATAGCTCCAATAAACTTAGGCTCCCAGAATTCCCCTGTCAGGATAGCTCTAATAAACTGAGGCTCCCAGAATTCCCCTGACAGAATAGCTCCAAAAAACTGAGGCTCCCAGAATTCCCCTGTCAGGATATCTCCAATAAACTGAGGCTCCCAGAATTCCCCTGCCAGAATAGCTCCGATAAACTGAGGCTCCCAGAATTCCCCTGTCAGAATAGCTCCAATAAACTGAGGCTCCGAGAATTCCCCTGTCAGGATATCTCCAATAAACTGAGGCTCCCAGAATTCCACTGTCAGGATAGCTCCAATAAACTGAGGCTCCCAGAATTCCCCTGCCAGAATAGCTCCGATAAACTGAGGCTCCCAGAATTCCCCTGTCAGGATATCTCCAATAAACTGAGGCTCCCAGAATTCCCCTATCAGGATAGCTCCAATAAACTGAGGCTCCCAAAATTCCCCTGTCAGGATAGCTCCAATAAACTGAGGCTCCCAAAATTCCCCTGTCAGGATAGCTCCAATAAACTGATGCTCCCAGAATTCCCCTGTCAGAATAGCTCCAATAAACTGAGGCTCCCAGAATTCCCCTGACAGAATAGCTCCAAAAAACTGAGGCTCCCAGAATTCCCCTGTCAGGATAGCTCCAATATACTGAGGCCCCCAGAATTCCCCTGTCAGGATAGTTTTAATGAGCCAAGGTCACATACACCACACCAGTCCATAGACAGGAGAGTGAAAGTGTACTAAGTACATATGTACGACGCTAATTAATGGTGTGACATCTCTACACACTGATAATGATATCATCATCCTTGAAATATGTAGTTGTATACTCATATTACGTGCATCACTACAGTAACAGTGCCGTCATTGATTAAGTTTAGACGCATTAAATAAATTAAAACAAGATATGTAAATGATGCTAACAATTCATAAAGATTTATCATCATCCACTACTTGTCAACGAAAAACGGTTTTCATTTATTTTATATTAATACATTGTAGTTACCATTTTCTACGTTAGAAATACACCATATTTGTCCAATTTCGACCCAGGAATAGGACACGTTTTTACTAGTCATCATCATAATTCTTTATACCTAACCATAATGGTTCAATTGTGTGATCGTACAACGCACCAAGGTGACATTCTAAGGCTGTAAAAAATATTTTATTGATTTCAAAATGGACAAATTGTTTTGCGTGCAAATAAAAAAGATAAAGTGCGCTTTTTTCAATTGAGTGTTGTTTGTTTAATTCAAGAGAGTGCGGTGTCACTAAGAAGTTCATAAATGTATGTGGCGGATGAACAACTGTCTAAGGGAGATAAATCCCCATGAATTCACCAAATATATAGGTAATAAAATGCAAAATTAAACATGCAAATTTCGAATTTGCATTTGATAAACAATTCTCTGTAGATAATATAATAAAACTGCTGTATTTATTGACGTTCTGCGTGTAGGTCTACAGAAAACAAAAAGCCAAAAGTGTTGGCAAGCATTTAGAAAATGTGGTTAAAGGAACAAACTAAAACTGTTTGTTTGTAATGGGGCAAACATATACTATGTCCACTGCTTATATATATAACTATACAGACATAATATTATATGTACAAAAAGGCTGATCTCACATTTAGCATGGACCTGCCGGGTACATCCATTGTCCTGGCATAGTAGTAACGGAATTTTGCAATATTATTTCCTGTTCCTCCAGGTTGGTTTGGTTTGGTTATATTTTGTTTACCGTCCTATTTACAGTTAAGATCATTTAAGGACGTACCTCAATGTGTGTTGTGTATGCATGCGTGTGTGTTTGTGTGCCGGAGACAGAGAAGGTTGGTGTAATTGCCTCCTTGTGATAGCGCGGATCTGATGCCAACTTTATAGTGCTATCTCACTGAAATACCATGCCGAAGGCATCGAGCACAGCATTCCACCCGGTCACATTATACTGACAACGGGTTAACCAGATGTTTTATTGGACTTTTTTTCCCTTAATGCTGGGAATAAATACTGCCATATTGCAAATGTTCAAATTTAGAACTGAACATGAGGTATTGCAAAGCAAGGGGCTAGAAAATAAAAATTATTAAGAAATACAGAGAAATGTATAGATCCATGGGGCCGCGGTGGCCGAGTTGTCAAGGCGTCTGGCATCGTGCTACCACTAGCCCTCCACCACTGGGTCGCGGGGTCAAATCCTACGTTGGACAGTCGTCAGGGACTGGCCGTAGGTCGGTGGCTTTTCTCAGGGAACTTCGGTTTTCGTCCACCACCAAAACCTGGCACGTCCTTAAATGACCATAGCTGTTAATAGGACATAAAACACAAACACACCAAACCAAAAGCATTTGTAACACCCCTGACTGCATGGAAGCATTACTTCTGTCTTTATCAAAATAGACTACAACATGTAACAGCGATGTCATAATGGCCTCGTACAAATTGTAGGATTGAATTATCTTTTCTGAGATCTTATATACTGATTAAGGAACGTTACATTTGGTACAAAACGGGTCTTCTTTTAAAGCGCCCTGTCCACTCAAATGATTTTGGCAGTGGTCTACAATTAACTTTCTTGAAACACAATGGAACTTTTGATTTAATCCGGGACATTTTCATAGCTTAGGTAGTCAAACAAAGCAGTGCTTCTTGACATTGTGGTAGAAAATATTTGGGAAGTGGGGTCAGCTTCCGGGAATGATTGCGAGTTTGTAGTCCTTGGGGTTGTAGACTTTGTTGACGGCTAGCAATCAACAAAGACCATTAACAAAAATAAAAACGTTCAGGACAGAGATAGCATCGTCCATAGAAAAATTCCGACACCGATGTTGTGTCTGAAAGATCTTATAACTTTTATTCTTTCAAGAAGCAATAGGTTTTGGACAAGTTTGCTTCAGATGAAGATCTTGGTCGGATGTGTTCATGCCTGATCCATGCTATCTTTGGTCGGTCTTAAAATCTAAGAATCAGTTGAATAAGAAATCACTCTTCTCCTCTTTACATCTGCTTGTGAATTTTTCTGCTGGTGGATTAATTCTGTTATATCATCTCCTTTCTTAGATATGTCTCTGTTTTGCTCTTGAGCTTTTCAATGTTCAAAAGAGCGTAGTAATGTATTAAATTACGAACCATACCAGGGCAAACTTTCATTGCATTGAAAAACTGAACGGTAATTCCAATATATCAAATTGAAAAAAAAAAAAAACCTAATCTCATGGACATTGAAATTATCACTTAACAGGGTTTCACTTTTGATCAATCCGACACGGATCTTCCACTAAAAAAATGCTCATCGACAGCCTTAGAGCTTCAGCTAAATGCTGTATCGGTCCCAAGATAAAACAAATGGTAAAATACATGTTTAAATATATAA